TTGAGTTTTTTTTTGGATGATTCTTGCTTGTTTTGATCGAATAAACTCGTGTGTATTATGATCATCGATAGAGTTCAAACTTGTTAACAATATTTGAGCCATCTCATAAGTCTTGTCCCTACTTGATGTATTGTCTTTCAAAAGATTAAGAATTTATCCATTTGATGAAATCAAATTGTCAACAAGTTAATTAATTTTATTGTTATAATTACTCAATATAAATATTGAGGACTATAATGCAAAACTTAAGTTTTTTTAAGAATGAATTTGAGGTTTTACCATTGAAGCAATGGACCCATAAATCCTTATTTTGAGGATATACCACCCTCAAAATGAGGTTTGTGGTTGGAGATGCTCTAAGACTAAATGAAAAAAAAATATAATAACTTCCATTTTACTCTTATTCATATATGAATATTTTATAAAATTTAATAATTTGTCTTTTCTTTCAATTTTATTTAGAAAATTAGGTGATCGGCTTGCACTGTATGCAGACTATAAAACATTTGATATGTTCAATTATGATTAGTACAGTATTGAAAATGTTTTATTTGTATATGATTAATTATGTATTAATAATAAAATTGTAAACATTTAATAATAAAAATGATAAATTAAATATAAAATATATAGATTTCAAAAGAAAATGAAGATAAGAAAATATTAACTAAGATTTTAACATATTTCCTTAGATAAAAAAATGTAAATACGATAACTAAATAAACGGGAAAATATTAAAATATATAATAATTTATTTAATTTTTATTTTTGGCACGCACACATGTACAGGTATAATATTTTTTATAGACATAATTAGTTGTAATATTTAAGTATTGATTAATTTTTTTAAACATTATGTAAACATTGTGATATTTATACATATACAGTTTTAGTGCTCCACAACAATCACACAAATGTTTCTTATTGTTTTGCGTCTTTTGAAATTTTTTATTTTTCCCAGCGTTTACAGTAACATATAATTACAAATGTAAAAGTTATATTAAATAGCAATTAAATTTTTATAATATGTTTTGAATATTTTCTATATTATACTTTCTTTTTCTCCTTACACATTATAATCTTTCCAATATATATATATATATTAAGTATTTTTTTTCCTTGATCTATTGATAATTAAACCAAAATTACTTTTATCAAAATTACTTATCCTAAGAGCAGGTATATAGTTGGCCCGCACATTCGTGCATACAAACCACCTCATCGTTCTTAGGATATATAAAGATTTTAAAAAATATATATATAAACTGTGTAACAACTAAAATTAAAATTAGAGTGTAGTCAAGGTAAACAAAATGTATGCACGATATATTTGCATGCTAGTTTGACTTTTTCACAACTAATATTTATATCTACATGCATATTTGTAAGAAAATAGAAGTATGACTTTTATGTGTCAAAAAAATAACAAAATATATGTTTTGTAATATATATTTTTATAACCTATGATTGATTTTTTTTAAAATAATAATAAGTATATTTATGCATGTAGGTAAGAGTAGAAATAAGTTAATTGTAATATTTAGGTGTTGGTAAGTTTTTCTGATATTTTCCGCAAACGTTATGTTAATACACGATGCAGTTATTGACGTTTAACAACAATCAAGAAAACCATTTCTATCATTTTGTATTTAATCAAAATTTCTTATTTTTCAGAGTTTTGTGATATATAGTTTCTCAATGAAAATATAATAAATATTTATTATAAAATTTATGAAATCATATTTTATAAAATTCTCCGGTAGCTCTCCGCTCATCTCTTTGTTATATTTTTTATAATCTGCAATCGCTCGCTTCTACAAACTCTCTGTAACTGAATTGTTTAAGCCAGTAGGATCTAAACTTATATGTGTATAATTTAAGGTGTGATAATATATTTAATATTCGATTGTTTATTAAAAATCAAGAGTTGATCTGTTCCTAACTTTAATATATTTGTTAATATAAAATATAATAGATTACAACATATACAAAACTTGATTCATGAAATAATGTTTTAATATGTTGGAAAAATATATGCATGAAAGAATTAATATGTGTAAGATAATATTTTAAAATATTTTAAATATACACATAAAATCGATCGAAATTATTTTTATTTATATTTTGTCTTCTTTCACTCATACTTTTTTCTTAACTTTTAATAATATATTTAACATTAAGATCATCTCAAAGTGGTCTTCTCTCCAACCTATTTCTATTTTACAGAAAAAAAAAAGATTCTTATTTTTCCTCTATAATTGAAGGAAAAGGTAACAACCTTTCTTTTTCCTCTAAATTAGAACATTTAAAATAAAAGTGAGTTGGAGATGTTTTAAAAGTAAAAATAAATATTTATAACTAAATTAGAATTAAAAGTAAAAACAAATATTTATAACTTTTGTTTTATGTAAAACAAAAGTTATAAATATTTATTTTTACTTTTACTTTTATATACAATATTATAATAAATAAAATTGGCTAAGAGGATGCTTATAATTTATTTTTCTCTCTTTTTATTTATTGTTTCATTGTTTCATTTATAATTTAGAATTTTTGCTATATAATGAGAATTCATTCACATATGATATAAACTTTTTATTTTATTTAAAAATGAGATTTATTTAGTTTTAACTTAACTAATCAAAACATTTCGTTTATTTTAGAAAATTTATCAAGTCACAGTTATGAGATAACATTGTTTTGCACTAACTTTTCTTTAGGTGTTGACACATAGGATTTTTTTAGTTAACATGTTTCTCAAATAATAGTTAGGATAGAACAAGAAACGAGGTAACAGTGTATATATATATATTGTATAAATTCTCATATGGCATGATTTATATGTTTAAAGTCTTCTTTGTCTTAACTCCTAAAGAGAAACATAATTTCATGTTATTTGTTTTAAAATAAGTTTGCTTATTAGGAAGAATAATAAATGTTTGTGTATATTAACTGTCATTTAGGATGATTGTTTGTGCAAATTAATATATTAATTGGAGAATTACATAGGGAACTTGAATTTTAGCCAAAAGAAACAAGTTCAATCGTTGTTTATATTGAACAGTGGTTGATCGAATGATTTAAACTAATTCAGTTATTCAAACATGGCATTGGTCCTTGGGTGTAAACCTAAAAAAATAGTAGCTCGGTAACACTATATTTGAAAAGTTTTTTTAAAATTTATGTTTGAATAACACATAATTGATTATTTTAATCTAAATTTTTGTTCAAATACACCATTTTAAGTGTCCTCATCATCAAGCTTAAAAGTATGGGTTGGATGGATTTGGTTATGAATTGGTCAATCTAGAATAAGAAATGAAAAGAACCATTGAGCTTGAATCTTGGTGAAGAGAAATAAATTTGAACGTTGATTTTATTGGATGTTGATCGGACTGGTTGACTTTGACTAATCCAAGTATAGAATTGGCCGTTGGGTGTAAACTCGAAAAATAAAGACAAGATTTTAACTTTAAATGTTGATTTGGTCAGATAAGACCATTGTGATGAGATAATTTATAATGTTTCTATGGAACTGTGGATTGGATCCTAAATTTAGTTTAGCAGACCAAATCAAAATAGATCTAATAATTATAATTAAATTAATGATAAATTGATTGAAGTTGATGAATAATAAATGTACTCATGGCCGAGATTAAGATATTCATTGAATTCTATTATGAACTACTCAGTTTAGTTTAGTTTTTCACTGAAATATAGTTTTGGATTAAAAAAAACTTCAAAATTCATTTTTTTTATTCAAACTAAATCAGTGTTGATCCAGTTGTTGACAATCTGGTTCGCCTAAAAACGGTTCATCAACCCATACACTACTATCATAGTCCGACCATTTGCAACATCACTAACTAATTAAACCGTCCACAAAGTTTTGCAGGTTTTTAGATAGATGAAAAGATGATATTTATTTTAGATATTGTTAGATTCTTTTTTTTTAAAGCATATCACTAAATAATTATTTTTCTTTCCAGTTTTTTTTATTTACATTAAAAAATTTGGTATTTACATCAAACAAACTAATATTTTTTTATACTATTTTACTTAAAAATGATATTAATGATTACCTCAAACTTTTATAAATAATAAAATACTAAACTTTAATAGAAAGTTGAATATGTGACAGTCATTTTAAAAAAACATTCCATATAATAAATAAAATATAATAATAATATTAGATACTGTCAAACTCTTGGTTTAAAACTAAAACATTATAATAAAGTTTATAGATTTATTATATATAAAAATAAGTTTTTTGTTATGAGGTAGATGTTGAAATTTATTCATTTTTATATTTATTTGATTTTTTTTAAGTCTATAGTATTTTAATTTTTTAAAATCTATAGTATTTTAATTTTTCAAAATCTATAGTATTTTTAATTAATTGTAAACTAAAATAAAAATAATGTTTATTTAATTGGGTTGAGTTCATCCTCAAACATGATTCGACCAAATATAAAATAGAAAACAAATCTCCTCCCAATAAATTAAGTTTTGCTATATTTGGTTCAGCCTCAGTATATTAGTACACAACAAAAACGCTACTCTATATCTCTGACTCTGATACATATTTGAATTAAATAAAATAAAAACTTACCTTCTAACGTATAATGATACCCACTCCAGTAGTAAATATCCATAATTTTCATTTTTTTCCTTTTGAGGAACCTCACATACAACCACCATTTTCCATATAAATGCTAATTAGCTTGTGAATTAACAAAAAACAAACGACAACATTATTACAAAAACAAATCTAGTTTTTTTTTTGTGAAGACCAAAATGGATTGTGATGGTGGTGGAAGCTCTGGCACTGAACAACATACTTCGGTAAACGCCAAAAAAAGCGAAAAGAGGGTTTGTCATCGCCACACTCCTCAACAGATCCAGAGACTTAAAGCGTAAAATCTTTATTAACTCTATTAATTTCAAAAAATACTATTACGATTTTGGATTATGACAGATTACTTTTTGATTTCCTATAAATGAATATAGTTACTTCAAAGAATGTCCTCATCCCGGGGAATCACAGCGACACAGGTTATGCAAAGAGCTGTTTCTCGAGCAAGACCAGATCAAATATTGGTTTTAGAATAAAAGAACTCAAAAAAAAGTATATATCTACGCATATCTTTATAAAAAAAATCTTATAATTATCTCAACAAATTGACGTTTTTTTAAAATAATGTTTTGATATGCTATATAGGCTCAAAATGAAAGATCTTCTAACATATTACTTCGTGGTGAAAACGATAAGATCTGATATGAGAATGAAGCAATGCTAGAGGTTTTAAGGAATGTGCTTTGTCCAGCTTGTGGAGGTCCTTCTTTTGGTAGAGATGAACGCGAACGCAATCTCCAAAAACTGCGTTTGGAAAACGCCGTCCTCAAAGAGAAGGTAAATCTTTTATTTCCATTTATCTAAATATATTTCACTATTATATTTTCGAATCATGTTTAAATAATTTATTTGTAAATTTTAATATGAAAACAGGACCTTCCATAGCAATAATTGTAAGAAAGATTGACTAATGTACTATCAGTCTAGCGTTAGTCTGTAGTTAGTTTACGTTTAGTCTGCTATTAATCTATATTGAGTCTACTTTCAGTTGTATAATGAATTATTCAACCATTAATCTATATTTATTCTGCATTTAATCTATTACTAGTTTGCAAAAAAATATTAAAAATATAACGCTAGTATTTATCAAATATTCTTTAAAGGAGCCTACTTCTACAATATTTTCTCATTATAGATTATTTTAAATAATTTCTCTATATTTTTTGGATATTTTTTTCATTTATCATCAAGTTTGTCATTTAACAAGATGACATACATCTACATTTGAAATAAAATGATATGTAGTACAAATATATTGTGTATTGAAGGTGAATATACATATCAGATAAGTAGATAGAAACCACTATAATAGTGAAAGATGGAGTAACAACAGTAACCATGAAAAATGTAAAAAAAAAGTAATCGGTACTAAATGTTTTTTTTGGTTTTTGTTAGCGTGATGAACTCGCCTACTTTGTATCCAAGAACAAGCACCTAGAAACAATGGTGGGCTCATCGGCTTCTGCTGAAAGACAGCAAATCGTTGAAACTCGCAACTCGTACAGAGCTAATACAAGCAATTTCTTGTTTGAGCCAGGTAGCTCATTAGGACCACCAACTTCTCAAACCATCCAAACACAACCACAATCCAAAATGGGTGAATGAGAAGTGGCTATAGTGAGTGCTTTGGTCAGTTTTACTATTCGAAGGATCAAGCTCTTGCTCAATTGTCATGATCATGCTTTAGTGAGGGAATATCCTCTAGATGATTCTCTCCCTTTTTGTTGTTGTTGCTGTTAAAAAAATTTTTATTTTTGTCTGGTTTTGGATTATTTGGATAGGTTATCATGGTTTTCAAGGACAATATTATTATGGTGGATTTAAAGTTTTCTTTTAATGTTTTAGACCTTTTGGTTGGTTATAAAAAAATTTCCATATTTTGAAGGATAGATGTTTCTTTGGATGGAATTAAGGATATATGTTTGATAATTATATATAACGATGCAACCATAGAAAATGATTAAACATTTGATAAATAACTAAAATGGTGAAATAACAACATTTGAAGTTAGATATATATAGTATTAAAACATCGAAATGGGACTCTACCGATTTATTTTTGTTCAAATAACAAACAAAAATTTAGAAAAATACAGAGTAACAAAAGATGTTAATGGTATAATAGAAGACGAAACCGGACAGACATGCAAAATGCAACGTGTAGATCTATAATTGGCAAAGAGAAAACAATGTGTATATAAATGCGGTAACAACACGCATCGTCACTTCATCACCACTACTCCTCCCAGAACAAATCCCCAAAATTCTTTAATAATCAAATTTCATATCTCATGGCATGTAAAATCATTAATAAATCTTTTGATCAATCTCATTTGTTCAGAAACAATTGGAAAGCATAGGGAGCAAGAAACTAGTCTGTTGAGAACAAAATTATACTCCAAATGGGTATTATGTATGTGGGGCCATCGTATCTCTCCTTAAATGTGAAAAAAAAATTTGTAATGTGACAAAAATATGCAATCTACTGGAAATATAAAAGACGTGCAGGACCTGCACGTTATAAATTTTTTTTTTTTGTCTGGTTTTGGATACAGTCCATCAAGCTGTATCTGATGAGAAGGATAATTTCATTCAAGTAAAATAGATTTTAAAAAAAATGAAAAAGGGTCTTAGTTTTTAAAAATGTATTTTTATAATTGATAACTCAAAAAATGCCTCTATGTGTAAATAATTCATCAAAGACCAGCTTTTAAAAGGCTTTCTATTAGACAATTAAAATATCAAAATCAAAATAAAGCAAGATTTATTATAAATGGATATGATTATCCAATTACTTTGTTGTTAAACATTCACCGACTCAACACTCGCCGACTTACAATATTTAATATTTTTTACTTTGTCTATAGGACAAAACGCATAAAAAAGTTCTGAAAGTGGCATGCACTGACACTTTAAACCTCAAATGTATTTTATTAACATTTTAAACCTTCAATCAAATTTTATTAACAGAAAAAACTTTCTAAGTGGCTTCTAATTTCGCGATCCCAGAAATTTGAACGGAATAGTAAACTTTGTTAACAAATACCTTCTCATTTCCCGATTTTTTGAAGTGACTCACTGAAAATTAAGAAACTAAAATTATAATCGATCTAAAATGTATATATATCACGATTAAACTGAAATTTGGACATAATAGTAAATTTGGAACAGCTATTAATCGTGATATATGTACGTTTTGGATCGATAATAGCTTTGGTTTCTTAATTTTTAGTGAGTCACTTCAAAGAGTCACGAAATTGGAAGGTAATTTGTTAACAGAGTTTACTATTCCGTCCAAATTTCTGGGGTCGCGAAATCGGGCGCCACTTTGAAAGTTTTTTCTGTTAACAAAATTTAATTAAAGGATTAAGTGTTAGTAAAATACCTTTGAGGTTTAAAGTGTCAGTATGTACCACTTTCAGAGTTTTCTATGTGTTTTTTCCTTTGCCTATATAAGGGGCTTTACCCCATGTACATAAAAAATACACGATGAACATCAATAAGAAGTTAATAACTTTGTTCTCTCTCTCCCACTTATGATCCCTCTTTGTTATTCAACCACTTATACAATAAATATTTTATAATATGTTATCAGCATGAACGTCTCTTAATCTATATCGTGAAGTCAGATCTATATCATGAGGTAAGATTTATTTGAATTTAAGTTATTTTAAATTTTTATTATTTCGGAAAGATAGGCTTTGTTTTATCCATTTATATATTATGTCGGAATGGAAGGTTTTGTCTCCTCCGAGCTGATCATTATAGTAGACTATGCCTTCACAATCAAAATGATCACATGGTAGACTATGTCTCCTCGGATCATGTTTTTTTTTTTGGAATGATCCTCGGATCATGTTTTTTTTTTTGGTATGGTCCTCGGATCATGTTTATGCAGTGAGAGATTAAAACCCCATCTTTATGTATATATTGTGTTGAGTGGTTAAAACTCTCCACCCTTATTTATTTATTTATAATACAATCAGAAATTGCATGGTAGGCCTGCCTTCTCATATTGCTTTTAATTATTGTTATTTGTTATGCTGTTACCATGCTCAAGTTTTAAATTTTTCATTTAATGAATTAAGCTTTTGTTATTCAGCTATAATATCAAATCTTGCAAAGCTCAAAATTACTGCTCTTGATATTACTGGAAAAAATTATATGACATGGGCAGTAGGTGCAAAAATGCATCTAAGAGAAAACGGACTTCTTGATACCATCGATAAGTCAAAACCGACATCAGATGAGAAAAAGACAAGAGCCATGATATTTTTACGTCATCATATCCACGATGGCTTAAAAGACGAGTACATCATCAACGAAGATCCTGCAAATCTCTGGCAATCACTTAAAGAATGGTTTGATCACCAGTAATATGTGATCTTACCAAAAGCCAGACACAAGTGATTACATCTCCGGTTTTAGGACTACAAAAATGTTAGTGATTATAATTCTGCGATGTTTGTTATAACATCGAGAATGGTGTTATGTGGAGAAAGAGTAAGTAATTATGATATTATTGAAAAAAATCTCTCCACATTTCACCCAGGAAATGTAGTCCTGCAACAACAATATCGGGCAAATGGATATACTTGTTATTTGGAGTTAATGAATGTTTTGCTTGTTGCAGAGCAAAATAATGAGCTAGTGATGATGAACAATCAAAGCCGTCCAACTGGATCTGCACCATTTCCTGAAGTGAATGTTGCATCATCCAGCTATAATAATTGGCAAGGACGTGGACGTGGACGCGGTCAATACCGTGGTCGAAATTGTGGTCGTGGATATAGATGTGGACAGGGACAAGTAGGAGGATACCATCCTAATCATTCCAATTATGGAAAAGAAATTAACAAATTTCAAGAAAATGATGATGGCCAGGATTTTAAAAAGAAAAAAGAAACTGTTTGCTACAGATGCGGCATGAAAGGACATTGGGTATGTACCTGTCATACACCAAAACATTTAGACGATCTGTACCGAGAATCACATAAGGCAAAAGAGAAAGAAAGTGAAACAAACTTCATTTCTGATGAACTTGGACCTTCTTTTCATGGCCTCAATGATGACACTCATCTCGATGTTACAGATTTTCTGATTGATCCAGAAGAATCAACAGAAACAAAGAGGCAAAAATTGGTGTAAGGAAGACATGAAAATAAAAGTTTAAACTTTTTGATGTATTATATGCTTTTGTTTTAAAAGTTTTATTGTAGGTTCTATTGTACCATAAGTTGTATTGTGAGGTATGTGCTTAATGCTTATTAATGTATCTTTATTGAATACTTTGATTACAGAAAATGCAAGAATTTGAGACTATGGATGGAGAAAAATGTTTGGCAGACAGTGCTACAATGCATACAATAATTAAAGATAAAAAATGTATTTCTCCAATCTCAAAATAAACGATTCCGCCGAAAGCATGAAATACAATATCGAGTAATGCAAAAATTATTATGGACTTCGGAAGAGTCAGTTTTTCAATGCTAAAGGGAACAAAGTTTAAAATACATGATGTGTTATATTCCCCTAAGTCTTATAGAAACTTATTAAGTTTCAAAGATATCTGCGGAAATGGATATCAAATAGAAACTATGAATAAGAACGGCGTTGAATATTTTTGCATTACATCAGAGATGAAATATATATTGGAAGAATCGA